AAATGCTTATTTTTTTGCCCTTTTATGGCCCCTAATTACTAAATTCTGATGGAATTACCCCCAAAATCAATCCCAGCCTTTCCTTTGTGGTATGGTACCTTGCAGTACAATTTCAGAGAGATCCATACACTTGAACACATGTTATTGTCTGGAAACTAGAAAAATGCTTATTTTTGGCCCCTTATTCCTAAACTTTTTGGGCAATTACCCCCAAACTCAATTCCAGCATTCCCTTTGTGATATGGAACCTTGTGATACAATGTCAGAGAGATCCATAGACTAACACACAAGTTTTTGTCATGAAACTAGAAAAATGCTTGTTTTTGACCCCTTTTTGGCCCCTAATTCCTAAAATTTGGAGGCAATTACCCCCAAAATCAATCCCAGCATTCCCTTTGTGATATGGAACCTTGTGATACAATGTCAGAGAGATCCATAGACTAACACACAAGTTATTGTCATGAAACTAGAAAAATGCTTGTTTTTTGCCCCTTTTTGGCCCCCAATTCCTAAAATTTGGAGGCAATTACCCCCAAAATCAATCCCAGCATTCCCTTTGTGATATGGAACCTTGTGATACAATGTCAGAGAGATCCATACACTTACACACAAGTTATGTCTGGAAGTTACAAAAATGCTTATTTTTGGCCCCTTTTTGGCCCCTAATTCCTTAACTGTTGGTACCATAACCCCCAAAATCAATCCCCACCTTACTTTTGTGGTATTGAACCTTTTGGTAAAATTTCATTGAGATCCATTCACTTAAACTAAAGTTAGAGTGCTAAAACAAATGTGTCTTCCGACGACGACGCAGGACGACGACGACGCCGACGTCATACCAATATACGACCACAAAAATCTGCAAAATTTCCTTAATATTACCACAAAAAACTGCAAAATTTCCTTAATATTACCAATTCAGGGGCAGCAACCCTACAATGGGTTGTCTGATTTGTAATAAAATTTCAGGGCAGATAGATCTTGACCTGATGAACAATTTTACCCAGTCAGATTTGCTCTAATGCTTTGGTTTCAGAGATATAAGCCAAAATCTACATTTTACCCCTATGTTCTAGTTTTAGCCATGGCGGCCATCTTGGTTGGCGGGCCGGGTCATCGGACACATTTTTTAAACTAGAAACCGCAATGATGATTGTTGCCAAGTTTGGTTAACTTTGGCCTAGTAGTTTCATAGAAGATTTTTGTAAAAGTTAACGACGGATGACGACGACGGACGACGGACGATGGACGCCAAGTGATGAGAAAAGCTTACTTGGGCCTTTGGGCCAGGTGAGCTAAAAAAGCATAGTAAAATCTTCATTAAGGCAAAGTATAAGAAAATTCTATCTGAGGAAATATATACCGCTAATCCACCTTAAATAATTTTCAAGAGCATTTTACGGAATAAGCATTATTTTTTAAGATAAAGAAAAATACCCTAAAAATTTATAGTATACAGAAATTAAGGACGCCCATATATATGGCAAGCCGTTGAGGAATTTATTCCCTTTTTTAAATATTGATTTATATTGGAAAATCATTTTTAATATTAAAAAATGATATGATTTTCTAATATTCTAATCAAAATTCCCTAATGACAGCAGTGCTTATTATCAATTTTAAGAAATTAATTTGCAGATTAATTAGTGCAATATAGCATCATATTTTTTCAACCGCTCTCTCAACATGGGAAGGAAGTGATGATGCCCCTAAACGCACAAATGAGGTTCACTAAAACCAAAGATTTTGACGGAAATGCAACAAACTGGAAAGTGGTCTATTAGTGTGATATAACGGTCTTGCCAATCTTTTTTTATATATGTCTCTTGTAGAACTAAGTGTTCTGGTAATTTTTGCTGTTTCTCAATATCTATTATATTAGTATTCAAAAAATGAAAACACTGTAATTTTCATGCGTCCGAAGTTCTTTTCTGGAATAACCTTCTTAAAGAACGCTCAAAGCTAAATATTTGAAAGCCAAAGCTGTATAAGAACCAAAACAGTTGAGCTATGAATCACCAAAATGGACCTAAAAATAAAAGCCAAAATCTTTGTCTCAGGGAATTGAAACCTAATAATTTCTTAATAATTTTATAATTCATAAACGGACAATTTAAGAAAGGTTTGTTATAAATCATGTCAATACCCAAGTATTGATTACTGATACCCTTGGGGACTGGTAGTCCACATGCTGTGGTATCAACCCAAAATTATAAAGAAAAAATTTCAAACTGGATTGTCTTATTTTTCTGAAAATTACATAGAGATAAATCTGAACTATAGATCATTTTACTCTTGCTAACTGCTTTAATTATTGAAAGTCACACCAAAAAGTACATTTTACCCTAGGCCATGTTCTTTTTTAAGCATCAGTGGCCAAGTCTTTCTAAACTAGATACTCTAAGAAGCATTCAGATAAAGTCTGGTAAATTTGGCCTTGTAGTTTCACAGGAGATTTTTTTTAAGGTTAGGATGAAGGATGCTTAGTGTTGGTATTAAGCTACTTTTCAGCATTTTTTGTTTATTTTGTATGAAAATTCGTAAGGGTTCCGCGGAACCCAGTGTCTCACCTACTTTTTCTGTTAATCGCAGGCTCAACAAAAATGAGGAAGTAAATCAATACAAATATTCCTCTTGATACTATCTTTTGATTGTAAGAAGCTTCTGTCCAAGTTTGGTAAAAATCCAGGATAGTTTATGAATCTAATAAATGTTTAAAAACTTCAACTGCAGACTGAATGTAATGTTAACTGGAAGAAAACAAAATTTCCTTCTAGATACTAGCATTTGATCATACACAAGCTTCTGTCCAAGTTTGGTACAAATCCAAAATTGTATAAGAAAGTTATTAAAATTTTTAAAACTTTAACCACAGAGTGAATATGTTGTTTCCTGGCAGAAAATCTAAGTCCATTTAAAAATAAAAATACGGAAAAAATGGATTTATTTTTTTACAAAATTTCCTTCTAGATACTAGCTTTTGATCATAAACAAGCTTCTGTCCAAGTTTGGTACAAATCCAAAATAGTATAAGAAAATTATTAAAATTTTAAAAACTTTAACCACAGAGTGAATATTTGTGGACGCCGCCGCCGACGCCGACGGAATGTAGGATCGCTATGTCTCGCTTTTTCTACTAAAGTCGAAGGCTCGACAAAAATGAATGTTGTTTTTTTTTGTTCAACTGATACACAATACACAATCAATAGGCAATACACAATCTGTTCCTTGAACTGCTTTTTCAAATCAACATGTGACACAAGTCCCACAACATACATGTACACACAATGGCCTCTAAAAACACTGCAAAGGATCTCATTTGTGTAGAGCACAATGTAGCACAAAAGTGAATAAAAAAACCACAAAGGACCTAAACAACGTGTTTTTATCCCATATGTATGCAGTGTGCGTCTTTCGAAATATTAACTTGAATCCATTTAAACAATTTCTACAAGTTCATAAGTTGTGGCTATCACTTTTGTCTCGTTGATCAGAAATAAAATAGTCATAAACTAAACTTAACCGAGTGATTGAAATAAAATCATGTGAAACACTCCTAATTTCAGAAACCTCTTTCCTGTTACTGGCATTTGCCGTCCAGATTTAATCTAAATTTTTAGATCTAATAATTGAGCAGATACACCTGCTTGCAGAAAAAAAAACCAGTAAATGAAATACCAAAATTAAAAATGAATGAGTATTTTATGTTTCATAAATTAAGTGTTAAAATCAAAAAAGCTTTTGTCAAACATTACTTCATTATTATCTGGAAAGAAGAAAGTTAAATGTTTAAGGTAACTAAGGGGCATAACTCTTGAACGGTTATTCTCAAAACCATCAACATGGACCTTCAACAGAACAGTTTTTCGATGATCTAATAATTGAGTTGATACACCTGCTTGCAGAAAAAAAAAACAGTAAATGAAATACCAAAATTAAAAATGAATGAGTATTTTATGTTTCATAAATTAAGTGTTAAAATCAAAAAAAGCTTTTGTCAAACATTACTTCATTATTATCTGGAAAGAAGAAAGTTAAATGTTTAAGGTAACTAAGGGGCATAACTCTTGAACATTTGTTCTCAAAACCATCAAAATGGACCTTGAACAGTTTTTCGATGATCAATATTATGTACAATTTCAAAGGATTTGGTCAAGTGGTACTATAATTATCATTCAGAAATCAAAGAAATAACATTTTCAAAGGCAAGCCGCAAATCTTGAACAGTAATTGTGAAAATTAAAGAACCTTTGTGAGCACGCTCACATACCCCATGCCCCCACATTGTCACTGGACAAACAAAATCTCACCAGATTCCTAAGTTCAAAGACTCATAACTGTACAAAAGTCAACTGATAAAAATTTTCTTGTGGATATGCACATTTATATATTATGTCCTCATTACCTACAAAGTTTCATGAAATTCTGTTGTGTGGTTTCAGAGGAGTTGCGATGACAAACTGTTGCGGTAGTATATTGAGGCCACCAAGTTCAACGGGGCATAACTCCTAGAAAAAAAATTGAATCATAATTTCCTGTCGATATGCACATCTACATAGTATGTCCTTATTATCTACAAAGTTTCATGAAATTCTGTTGTGTGGTTTCAGAGGAGTTGCGATGACAAACTGTTGCAGAAGTATATTGAGGCCAATAAGTTCAAAGGGGCATAACTCCTAGAAAAAAAATTGAATCATATTTTCCTGTCGATATGCACATCTACATAGTATGTCCTTATTATCTACAAAGTTTCATGAAATTCTGTTGTGTGGTTTCAGAGGAGTTGCGATGACAAGAACAGGACTGACGGACGGACGGGTCAAAAACATTATACCCTCCGCAACTTTGTTGCGTGGGGTATAAAAATCAAAATCTAACTTGACCTTTACTTTTATGGTCCATGACATTCTCAAATAAATTTCATTAACGAGACTATTCATATAATATTACTACAACTTCTATCCCTTAAATATTTAGGCTTAAACAAAACTAACAATATATTCATGTTGCTGATAACCCAGACAGCTCATCTGGACACCAGATTTTAATGATTTTTAAAACAATATCCATGTATACAAATTGTAAGCATATATACATAAAAGATAATCATAAAATTATAATGGATGAAATGCTTCTATGCTGTATTTTAAGTTAAATACCAAATAATGACAAAATCTCTATCATCATCAATCTCCCTGCCAGGAACAACAATGACAACCAACTAAAACGAGTGAACTTGATCAAACTTCTTTAAAAACTGAATTTGTAGTGGGAAAATGTTGGAAACCTGAGTCCAAAACCTAATGCTCTGAAGACTGTCTCAGGAAGTATACTTTAGACAGTATAAAAAAATGTATAATTATTCAGAATAAAACAATTGATAAAAATATAAATTATATCAAACTCAGCTAAAAAATAAAAGAAGAATGTGTCTGAGGACACGATGCCCTTGCTCAAGCTTTGCAATTTTAAAAATTGTAAAAAGGAGCATAAATCTAGAAAAGTAAGTGACTCACTGTCCAAATTTGCAACTTTCCAACTGATAAAGGGGCATTACTCTTAAAAGTTAGTGCGGAAACAAAAATGGGACAAAAGGAACAACAAAAGGACAGAAGGACGCCAAGGGTAACACTTAATGCCTCCTTTCCCTATGGCAGGGGCATAAAAAAAACGAAAAAAGTCGGAAAAGATATATATTTAACAATGGTGAAAGCCAAAATATACATTTCTCATTTTTTTCTTTTTTTTTTTAGATTCTCCATTCTTAACTTCTGGAAGTGTTTTGACTAGACACGGACCATTATTAATATATCTAAAAGAGTAGGTCTTCAAATAAAATTGGTCCATTTCAATTCATTTTCAAAGTACCAATTAAATCTAGCCACAGGGGAAAAAAAATAATGAATACAATCTGAACTATGAACACAAAACAAAACTATACATACCAAAAACCAGTTCAGTATCAATATGCATGATAAAAAAATTGTCAAGAATGGACATGAGTAGAGCTACCTGAATATATCCTTTGGTTTTAATGGTTAAAAGAGGGATTTTAAAATTCAAAATAAGTTATCTATAACTTACAATCTTGTTGAAAATGGAGAATCTTTACACTATTTTTTTTTTTTTGTAAAAAATTATAAACATTTTCTCAAACATACACAAAAATTGTCTGAATTACATTCTTTACTGGTACAGTCACCCAATCATTTTCATGCAGCCACAGTTAAAGTTACCTGAAAAAGAAATGTTCATTCTTAAACATATCTGTCAAAACTATATTTAATGCAAAAGAATAATTAACTGGGCATTACAATTATGATGCATATAACATTTCTTTACCTAGCTTTAAAGTGACTCGTGGACATAACTTTTAGACTACCAGTCTTTGTTGGCAAAAACAGATGAAAAACAAGTCGTTGTTTGTTGTCTATCATATTTTTTGTTTTGTTTATTGTTTTATCCTATATCAAGTCATTGGTTTTCTCATCTGAATTCTTTCACATTTTGTCATGTTGGGGCTTTATATAGCTTACAATACAGAATAGGTTTTGCTCATTGTTGAAGACCATAAAATGGCATTCTATAGTTGCTAACATCCTTGTCATGTGGTTTCTAGTTGATAAATGTCTCATTGGCAATCATATTATATTTAATTTCTATATAGTGGAATTAATTTAGATAAAAAAAAAAAAACAGAGAGAAGATATCCAAAATTCAAATCTTTGACTTCCCTTATTTGTATCTTGATACCCCCTTCCAAATTATACATACACTTATAACATGAAAAATCTAGTGACATGCTCCAAGTTGAATAGTTCATAAATCTATGTACTGATTCTTACCATAAAAGTCAGCTCCAATGGCCATTCCCAACCTCAATCCTTACAGACAAGCTGTGATGTTAACCTGAAATATAAAATGCTTCATCATCAAAAATTGTTTAAACTGATCATTGTTGGTATACTTATATATATTTAATATAAATACTGGTAGTCTATAAATGTGTAATAGATGTTGAGAACATGTGGATTAGACAGCTATCCAGCAACTCAGCAAACTTTTATATAATTACATCAGATCCTAAGATTTACTTATATAATGGTAGCTGATAAACGAAAGAGAAGACTTCTGACCAACTCCTAAAAGCCTAGAGAGAATTTTCCAAAGAAATTTTATAATACATTTGTTTTTTTTTTTCTCTTCAAAACTGGAATAACATTCTGGTACTTACCTTCCTTTTAGATGTATTAGACCCCAAAGTTTTATAATCCAACACCATGAAAATCATGTCACAGAAAGGTTACCTAAAAAGGAATTAAAATTGATACACTTTTGAATTCAACATACAAACTAGCTTCTAGTTGTATAGCTGAAAGGATAAAGTCAGTTCTAAACAGAATTATTGACTCTGATCAAACAGGCTTTATCCCGGGTAGATTTATTGGGGAGAACTGTAGACTTATATATGATATTTTACACTTTACAGAAGAAAATGATATCCCTGGTATATTATTACTCATTGATTTTGAGAAGGTCTTTGACTCTATATCATGGGCCTTTCTCTTTGAAACACTGAAGTATTTTAATTTTGGAGACTCTATTATGAACTGGATAAAAACATTTTATAATGATATTACATCTACTGTCACCCAGAACTGCTGTCTGTCAGACTTTTTCCGTGTGGAGAGAGGCTGTAGACAGGGGGATCCTTTGTCTCCTTACCTTTTCTTGCTATGTGCTGAAATATTAGGCATTTTGGTAAGAAGTAGTGATGAGATAAAGGGTATTACGATAGATGATTCAGAGTATATCTTGTCTCAATATGCAGACGACACATCACTTATTTTAGATGGGTCGCCTTCCTCACTGGATGCATCTCTCCGTATATTACAATTCTATGCTGAGATATCAGGACTGAAAATTAATTTAGACAAAACAAACGTTATATGGATAGGTAGTAAAAGACATAGTCAAGACAAAATATGTGTGAAGTGGGGACTGAAATGGGGTTTCAGTACCTTCAAATTATTAGGTATCACTTTCTGTGTTGATTTAGATAGAATGTTAAATCTAAACTATGCTCCTCGAATACAAGAAATAGAAAAAATATTACAAAAATGGTCAAAACAGTCACTTACCCCGTTTGGTAAAATAACAATTATAAAGTCACTAATTATATCAAAATTAAATCATCTGTTCCTGTCCATCCCAGGTCCAGATGATAATATGATACGTCAACTTAATAGTAAAATTTATTCATTCATTTGGGATGATAAGCCTGACAAGATAAAGCGGGATCTTCTATGCCAAGAATACTTTAGAGGGGGCCTAAAAATGATTAATTTGAGACATTTTATACAAGGGTTAAAACTTACTTGGGTAAGAAGATTATTTAAGTCAAAATCCAAATGGATCCAATTATTAACCTCCACCCAAAATATAAATTTTACAGAGTTGGCTTATTTTGGAATTATTAAAAAATAAAAAAACAAATTTTGGGATGAAGTTTTTCATGCCTGGAAAATTATGTCAAAACTCAGACATCCATTTCATTTTGAGGAAGTCATTTCGACATCTATATGGCATAACAAACATATTAAAATTGATAACGTCAACGTTTACTATAAAAATTGGTCACATCATGGGGTATGGACTGTAAATGACCTGTTAGATGAACATGGAAATATATTAACATATGAAAATTTTGAAATTATGTATAATTTCAAACCCATGTTTCTACAGTTTTATGGGCTTATATTAGCACTAAAAAAATGGCTACAAGCCATTGGAATCAACACCGAAAGAGAGAAAAAACATCAGGCTATTATACCTTTCAACATTAATATTTTCATTAAGTCCGAAAAGGGCTCAAAGGACATATATACTATTTTAAATCAAGGAACTTTACCTATAGATTTTGTAGCAGAAAAAAAATGGGAAGGTATTCTTAATAAAGTTATAGAAAATTGGAAAAAAATACACTTGTGTGTTACCAAGGTTTCAAAAAATACTAGGTTATGTTGGTTTCAATATAGAATTATTCATTATATCTTAGGGACTAATGCTCTACTCTTTAAAATGAAACTTGTTAACTGTAATTTGTGTACATTTTGCAAGGAAGAGCCTGAAACTATAGAACATTTACTTTGGGGTTGTCATATTGTAGCCGACATTTGGCACAATCTAAATTCTTGGATTTTCGATATAGTTCATATAGAAATTCCACTAAATTTGAATATTGTCATTTTTGGCCTCTATGAAAATTATAAATTGAATTTTATTAAAAATAAAGTTATCTTACTGACAAAGTATTTCATTTACAGATGTAAGATGCAAGATATAAAACCTCATATTAAAGGTCTTCAAAATTACATAAAAGAAAACTTGATTTTAGAGAAACATATTTCTTCAAATATTTAAGTATGGAAGAAAACAACTTGTACTGGAACCCCTGGGCTAAGATCATTAATTAAATTTAAATTAGGTTAATGTATATACATATGTGTATATATATGAGTATTTGAAAGAACTTGTATACTAGTAGTTATACCATATGCATGCTCATATATTTCTTGCTCTACTATTACTATTATTACTATATTAATGAAAATATTATTACTATACTACATCCATAGATTTCATAGTGTTAGTCCATAGAATGCTTATCATGCTTATTTATTTCACTTGCTTGATTATTGTACCACAAGATAAATATATGTTGATACCTGTAAATTCATGAAGAAAAATAATAAATTATAAAAAAAATAAATATTGTTTTGATTTCTTACTTCATGTTCACAATAGTATAACATCAACACCTAAATTTGTAAAATTAATATATAAAGATGGAAAATTAAAAGGAAGTCAAAGAATAATGATTTGAATATCAACTGAATTAAAATCTGCATATTTTACAGAGTTATCTCCCATTGAATTAACAAATCTTGGAAGCTCTATTCCAATCTCAGGATTTACTCTTGCTATTCTTTTAGAAAATCTTGTTAATATACTTGGTACAAATTGTATCTTTAAATATTAAACTGGTAAAATAATTCTCGGTCGGGTAGATGTTTTCACAATTTTTAGTTTTCAGTTTTCTAACTTGGAAAATATGTTCTAACCCTTCACATGGCTACTGTGAGAAAAACATTTATAATGTCTAATACAGTTATCTTTTAATTATTTTTGTTTTAATTATCCTGATAAGAATTCAACTGGCCAATGTACATGTAATGGGTGTATAATATCATACCATTAGTATTTGCAGAACTTTCTTAAAATGGTGTTGATACTTTATAAAGGTATTTAAGTTGATTTCTTCTGTGTGTTTTATCCCATTTAAATCAATAGTCAATACCATATTTTATTTCTTTAAGACAAACAATTACACACATAGGACATATAAAGACCATCAGAAATAATAAATACAGTATTGTAACCTATATATCTCTGTAAGAACTCTGTAATGGAAATAAATAATAAAGATTAGTGATGTTTGAAAAATTGTTGTCACTTCTATCAAAGCAGGCTCTCTTAAAAGCTTACAGTAGATTTAGCTTCATCTGTGATAAAAATAAAATATATAGAGTATAGAGTTACGGAAATCTATATGCCACTCTTCCAGGTCTGTTAGCCATATTCAAGGTCGACAACTGAAACATCCTCTCTAAGCTGAATCTGCAAAAATCCAAAATTACAAATTAAACATCTGTGAGTGAACTCTGAAATGAAATATAAATATACTAGTCAACAAAAGTAACGATACACAAGTTTGAACTCCAATTTATCATAAAATATAATAAAATAGGAAAAACTGTTAAATTATCCAATGAAAAACATTCATTTGCAAAGCAAATGCATATGATTAAAAGAATCTGACCAAAATGGAAAGTAAGAAACTACCGTGTTATATATAACAGGGGTCAAATTTATTTTGCGGAACATAGATTTTATTACAAATTTATTTTATTGAACATAGATGGTCCTCAAATAGTCAAAAAATATCATAGAGACTTAAGAGCTACAGTTCCGCAGCTACCTTACCATCAATTCTTTGAAGAAACCTATATAAAAAATAAATATATATACAACAATATACACATGAAAATATATAAATTGAAATAAATCAACCAATCTTACTATTAAATACGGAACCATAGCTCTTAATTAGGTCCTTATGATATATTATAAAGACCTAAGAGCTAAGGTTCGGCAGCTACCTTACCATCAATTCTTTGAAGAACCCTATATAAAAAATAAATATATATACAACCATATACATGAAAATATATCAAATGAAATAAATCAACCTATCTTACTATTAGGTGCGGAACCATAGCTCTTAATTAGGTCCTTATGATATATTATAAAGACTTAAGAGCTACGGTTCCACAGCTACCTTACCATCAATTCTTTCAAGAAACCTATATAAAAAATAAATATATAAACAACAATATACATGAAAATATATAAAATGAAATAAATCGACCAATCTTACTATTAGGTGTGGAACCATAGCTCTTAATTAGGTCCTTATGATATATTATAAAGACCTAAGAGCTACGGTTCCACAGCTACCTTACCATCAATTCTTTGAAGAAACCTATTCAAAAAATAAATATATATACAACCATATACACATGAAAAAATATGAAATGAAATAAATCAACCAATCTTACTATTAGGTGCGGAACCATAGCTCTTAATTAGGTCCTTATGATATATTATAAAGACCTAAGAGCTACGGTTCCGCAGCTACCTTACCATCAATTCTTTGAAGAAACCTATATAAAAAATAAATTTATATACAACCATATATACCGGTACATGAGAATATATAAAATGAAATAAATCAACTAATCTTACTATTAGGTGCGGAACCATAGCTCTTAATTAGGTCCTTATGATATATTAAAAAGACCTAAGAGCTACGGTTCCGCAGTTACCTTACCATCAATTCTTTGAAGAAACCTATATAAAAAATAAATATATATACAACAATATACATGAAAATATATAAAATGAAATAAATCGACCAATCTTAATATTAGGTGCGGAACCATAGCTCTTAATTAGGTCCTTATGATATATTATAAAGACCTAAGAGCTACGGTTCCGCAGCTACCTTACCATCAATTCTTTGAAGAAACCTATATAAAAAATAAATTTATATATACAATATACACATGAAAATATATAAAATGAAATAAATCAACCAATCTTACTATTAGGTGCGGAACCATAGCTCTTAATTAGGTCCTTATGATATATTATAAAGACCTAAGAGCTACGGTTCTGCAGTTACCTTACCATCAATTCTTTGAAGAAACCTATATAAAAAATAAATATATATACAACAATATCCATGAAAATGTATAAAATGAAAAAAATCAACCAATCTTACTATTAGGTGCGGAACCATAGCTCTTAATTAGGTCCTTATGATATATTATAAAGACCTAAGAGCTACGGTTCCGCAGCTACCTTACCATCAATTCTTTGAAGAAACCTATATAAAAAATAAATATATATACAACCATTTACACATGAAAATATATAAAATGAAATAAATCAACCAATCTTACTATTAGGTGTGGAACCATAGCTCTTAATTAGGCCCTTATGATATATTATAAAGACCTGAGAGTTACGGTTCCGCAGTTACCTTACCATCAATTTTTTGAAGAAACCTATATAAAAAATAAATATATATACAACAATATCCATGAAAATATATAAAATGAAAAAAATCAACCAATCTTACAATTAGGTGCGGAACCGTAGCTCTTAATTAGGTCCTTATGATATATTATAAAGACCTAAGAGCTACGGTTCCGCAGTTACCTTACCATCAATTCTTTGAAGAAACCTATATAAAAAATAAATATATATACAGCAATATACATGAAAATATATAAAATGAAATAAATCGACCAATCTTAATATTAAGTGCGGAACCATAGCTCTTAATTAGGTCCTTATGATATATTATAAAAGACCTAAGAGCTACGGTTCCGCAGCTACCTTACCATCAATTCTTTGAAGAAACCTATATAAAAAATAAAAATATATACAACAATATCCATGAAAATGTATAAAATGAAAAAAATCACCCAATCTTACTATTAGGTGCGGAAACATAGCTCTTAATTAGGTCCTTATGATATATTATAAAGACCTAAGAGCTACGGTTCCGCAGCTATCTTACCAACAATTCTTTGAAGAAACCTATATAAAAAATAAATATATATACAACCATTTACACATGAAAATATATAAAATGAAATAAATCAACCAATCTTACTATTAGGTGTGGAACCATAGCTCTTAATTAGGTCCTTATGATATATTATAAAGACCTAAGAGCTACGGTTCCGCAGTTACCTTACCATCAATTCTTTGAAGAAACCTATATAAAAAATAAATATATATACAACAATATCCATGAAAATATATAAAATGAAAAAAATCAAACAATCTTACAATTAGGTGTGGAACCGTAGCTCTTAATTAGGTCCTTATGATATATTATAAAGACCTAAGAGCTATGGTTCCGCAGTTACCTTACCATCAATTCTTTGAAGAAACCTATATAAAAAATAAATATATATACAACAATATACATGAAAATATATAAAATGAAATAAATCGACCAATCTTAATATTAGGTGGGGAACCATAGCTCTTAATTAGGTCCTTATGATATATTATAAAAGACCTAAGAGCTACGGTTCCACAGCTACCTTACCATCAATTCTTTGAAGAAACCTATATAAAAAATAAATATATATACAACAATATACATGAAAATATATAAAATGAAATAAATTAACTAATCTTACTATTAGGTGCGTAGCCATAGCTCTTAATTAGGTCCTTATGATATACTATAAAGACCTAAGAGCTACTGTTCCGCAGCTACCTTACCATCAATTCTTTGAAGAAACCTATATAAAAAATAAATATATATACAACAATATACATGAAAATATATAAAATGAAATAAATCAACCAATCTTACTATTAGGTGCGGAGCCATAGCTCTTAATTAGGTCCTTATGATATACTATAAAGACCTAAGAGCTACTGTTCCGCAGCTACCTTACCATCAATTCTTTGAAGAAACCTACATAAAAAATAAATATATATATACAACAATATACATGAAAATATATAAAATGAAATAAATCAACTAATCTTACTATTAGGTGCGGAACCATAGCTCTTAATTAGGTCCTTACGATATATTATAAAGACTTAAGCGCTACGGTTCCACAGCTACCTTACCATCAATTCTTTGAAGAAACCTATTTAAAAAATAAATATATATACAACCATATACACATGAAAATATATAAAATGAAATAAATCAACCAATCTTACTATAAGGTGCGGAACCATAGCTCTTAAATAGGTCCTTATGATATATTATAAAGACTTAAGAGCTACGGTTCCACAGCTACCTTACCATCAATTCTTTGAAGAAACCTATATAAAAAATAAATATATATACAACAATATCCATAAAAATATATAAAATGAAAAAAATCAACCAATCTTACTATTAGGTGCAGAACCGTAGCACTTAATTAGGTCCTTATGATATATTATAAAGACCTAAGAGCTACGGTTCCGCAGTTACCTTACCATCAATTCTTTGAAGAAACCTATATAAAAAATAAATATATATACAACAATATACATGAAAATATATAAAATGAAATAAATCGACCAATCTTACTATTAGGTGCAGAACCATAGCTCTTAATTAGGTCCTTATGATATATTATAAAGACCTAAGAGCTACAGTTCTGCAGCTACCTTACCATCAATTCTTTGAAGAAACCTATATAAAAAATAAATTTATATACAACCATATATACATGAGAATATATTAAATGAAATAAATCAACTAATCTTACTATTAGGTGCGGAACCATAGCTCTTAATTAGGTCCTTACGATATATTATAAAGACCTAAGAGCTACGGTTCCACAGCTACCTTACCATCAATTCTTTCAAGAAACCTATATAAAAAATAAATATATATACAACCATATACATGAAAATATATAAAATGAAATAAATCAACCAATCTTACTATTAGGTGCGGAACCATAGCTCTTAATTAGGTCCTTATGATATATAATAAAGACCTAAGAGCTACGGTTCCGCAGCTACCTTACCATCAATTCTTTGAAGAAACCTATTTAAAAAATAAATATATATACAACCATATCCACATGAAAATATATAAAATGAACTAAATCAACTAATCTTACTATTAGGTGCGGAACTGTAGCTCTTAATTAGGTCCTTATGATATATTATAAAGACCTAAGAGCTACAGTTCCGCAGCTACCTTACCATCAATTCTTTGAAGAAACCTATATAAAAAATAAATATATATACAACCATATACACATGAAAATAAATAAAATGAACTAAATCAACCAATCTTACTATTAGGAGCGGAACCATAGCTATTAATTAGGTCCTTATGATATATTATAAAGACTTAAGAGCTACGGTTCCACAGCTACCTTACAATCAATTCTTTGATGAAACCTATATAAAAAATAAATATATATACAACAATATACATGAAAATATATAAAATGAAATAAATCAACCAATCTTACTATTAGTTGCGGAACCATAGCTCTTAATTAGGTCCTTATGATATATTATAAAAGACCTAAGAGCTACAGTTCCGCAGCTACCTTACCATCAATTCTTTGATTTGATTTGATTTTTTTTGATTTTTTTGTGTTTTAACGCCACTTTTAAGCACCGCTTTTGGACTATTTCGTGGCGGCCAGTTTTTATTGGTGGAGGAAGCCGGAGTGCCCGGAGAAAACCACCGACCTTCGATAGGAAAACTGACAATCCTAGTCAATTAAAATTGGAGTCGAGTGCACCCGCACGAGCGGGGTTCGAACTCACAACCTCAGTGTTGACTGGCTAGTGATTACAGTAGTAACTACTTAGACCACTCGGCCACCGTCAATTCTTTGAAGAAACCTATATAAAAAATAAATATATATACAACAATATCCATGAAAATATATAAAATGAAAAAAAATCAACTAATCTTACTATTAGGTGCGGAACCATAGCTCTTAATTAGGTCCTTATGATATATTATAAAAGACCTAAGAGCTACGGTTCTGCAGCTACCTTACCATCAATTTTTTTGAAGAAACCTATATAAAAAATAAATATATATACAACAATATCCATGAAAATATATAAAATGAAAAAAAAAAATCAACCAATCTTACTATTAGGTGCGGAACCGTAGCTCTTAATTAGGTCCTTATGATATATTATAAAGACCTAAGAGCTACAGTTCCGCAGCTACCTTACCATCAATTCTTTGAAGAAACCTATATAAAAAATAAATATATATACAACAATATCCATGAAAATATATAAAATGAAAAAAATCAACTAATCTTACTATTAGGTGCGGAACCATAGCTCTTAATTAGGTCCTTATGATATATTATAAAAGACCTAAGAGCTACGGTTCTGCAGCTACCTTACCATCAATTTTTTGAAGAAACCTATATAAAAAATAAATATATATACAACAATATCCATGAAAATATATAAAATGAAAAAAAAATCAACCAATCTTACTATTAGGTGCGGAACCATAGCTCTTAATTAGGTCCTTATGATATATTATAAAGACCTAAGAGCTACGGTTCTGCAGTTACCTTACCATCAATTCTTTGAAGAAACCTATATAAAAAATAAATATATATACAACAATATACATGAGAATATATTAAATGATATAAATCGA